TAACACCTTTTTCTAATAATAAAATATTCGTTTTAGTTTTTAAATTAAAGATTTATTACCAATAAGAACACGTTCATTATTCTTCGAAAAAAAAACTTTACTTTTGAAATGAGTAGTCGTTCGATTACTCTCACCATTTATTCCTTCATCATTGTCTATAACAACTGATTCATGACCAGGTGAATTTTCACTACTAGTTGCCATTGATTGATAAGACAAAAAAAAATAAATCAAAGTAAGCACGAACGCGAGTTTATTAATATATGAACAGTGGTATAGAATTGATAACTGTTCTTAGAATTATATCGTATCAAATTCAATATGAAACAAAACCTTGCTATGACCAATTTCAAAGCTTGAGAGTGTGATTGATTCTATTTTTGCACAAATAAAAAACAAAGTAAATATACCTTTCACTTTTTTCAATATAATAATTATATAACGAAACGACGAAAAAGAATAGAGAACCGTTCAATAATCAATTCTTTGCCAAATATTCGAATATAATATAAACAAGTCATTTTCTAATAAAGATATTTTATTTCTAACAGTTAACTATTTATCGAGATAACCTTTTACTTTTTTAAACAACTAACCATTTACATTGAAATCAAATCTTCTATTTTACATCGAATTATCTTTTATTTTCATTGAAAATTTTTTTTTCGATTGAAATATTCTAATAAGATATAATATATGTAAAATCTCGTTTCGGTCTTCAAAGATGAGACAACTATCAATCTCAACATTGTTCGATTAGGATTCAATCTTATTCTATAGTCAATATTTTATGTCGAAAATAAAATAAAATCAGTTTACCGGATATATTATATAGGAAAAAATTCCAAAATGATGATAGCTATTTATCGTCTAGAGATATCTAACATCTATTTAAACTACTCGAACCGAATCATCAAATCACCTTGGTCAACATATATATAGCAAAACTCATATTACCTGAATTTGTTTGTGTATAAATACTTCCTTGAATCACCATAATCATAATAATAATAAAAATAAGACGAGAAAAGAATATATAATCTAATTGAAACATGAAATAATCCATCAATACAACATACTAAAATAAAACGAAAAATAAACATATGCAATATATAAAATACCCACACAACTTTTTTTTGTATTACTCTTTCATAGTAATAAATCGAAAAAGATAAATCGAGTAATCAAGCATTCCATATTGAATAAAATTGTTGACTAAAAAGAAAATGGACCTCATTGAAATGATATACAAATACGCAAATGTATTCCACCATTCTCATATCTTCGTTACTTTATTTTCTATTCGCTAGATTTTGTAATAAATATATAAGTGATGTCACCAGATATCTGAATTTCTTTTTTTTTCTTTTCTGTTATCTCTACCTGATCTATTTATGACGTATAAAACCATATTAATCCTTCTTTCCTTTTCTTCTCTGTGTATCCTTAATTGGTGTGCTGATATATATATATTTTTTTCTCTTCTATCTTCTTTCTCTTCTTTCGCGTAAAAATTGTGAACCTAAATAAAATGGCACAATAAATTAAATGAAAAAAAAATTTTTACATGAATACGCAATATCTGGAGAAAATAATAATGTTACTAGCTCAAAGTTTTCGAGTGTTATTAAGTCCATCAGACGTACCTTAAATTAACGTTTCAAATCTCAGTTTTGGTGGTTCAACATTTTTATAAATAATTACGAATACGCTAGAATCCCAGTGAAACAATCATGACTCTCGGTATATAGATTACGGTCACGAATTTTATCAGAATTTTCTTAGCCTCAATTAATTTTCCCTGACTAAAATATAAGACTGAACAGCGTTCGTACTTGGATTTTGATCCTTTGATGCCGATTATTTTCGCACCACTCAGTTTCTGTAGAATACACGAATTTTTCACGAAGTTTCTTTGAATATTCACATTTTTGTGAGAATGACATGCATTTGGAGCGAGTAGACTAGTCAAAATCAGAAAAACAATAATGTCTAATTATTTTTATACTCGTCGGTTGTCTTGACGACGATATTTTTAGCTTCAAAAATATTATGTACATAATAATAGATTAGATTACGTTGCAATCTCGATCTCAAGTATTAAGTATTTTCTTGTTTATGAACATCGATAACAAATAGACCATAGAAAATTATTTCCTTGCTCCAGTAGCCTAACAGAGACTCAACAGTCACAGTGAATATAAGCAGAATCCAAGAGGAAAACAATTGACTTTTATGACTTTAAAGTCATTTAGATCACGTAGATCACATGTAGATCATTTAGATCACTTAGCTCATTTAAATCATTTACGTCATAAAGTCAGTTGTTTCCCCTTGAAATAATTGCTCGACTAAATTCTCATTTGTTTTGTATAGATTTTCTTTTATTTAGTTCAATGTATGAATGAAAACAAATAAGTATTCATGAGAAAAACTTCTTTTTTTCATTAAGTATTTTATTAAGTAAACGATAAATTGTTTTTTACAATTTCCTTTAATACAAGATCTTTTTTTTAAAAATTCTTTTGTTTAGCTGTTAAAAATCTTAACAAATGTTATATAGATATGTTGTTGTTATAAATCAATCGACGATCAACTGGATTTACTTTTTCTTCAAAGCTTCACGAAAAAGCATAGCCCTACAATAGAATACAACTTAATATACATCAAGTCAAGAATAAATTGAGTCTTGCTTACAATGTCGACTGGAACAGTTCACCGGATATTTCTGTTTTTTTTGGATCGGTCTCTTTTTTCTTCGGAATTTTAGGTAACTTACGAATCGAATTGATATTTCTCTCGATAATATTAATGTTGATAGCTTCATAACCACGAGAAGCTGTAGGACAAGAAGATATTATTTATTTATATAACGACTAGAGTTAAATAACTCACTTTTCATGATGTCAAATTTGCAGGTGTCAGCCACGAAAAATTTCTTTGGATGAACTTGATCAATTATTGAAGCTTCTCGTGCGAAAATATCAGGCCATTCAGTTTTATCTTTACTAGAAAACAAATGAAATTAAATACCAAAAAAAAAGGATCATAATTACCGCTTGATAAAACCAAAATGTTTAAATCGATTGACGGTAACAAAACTACCTTTAACACCTTTTTCTAATAATAAAATATTCGTTTTAGTTTTTAAATTACAGATTTATTACCAATAAGAACACGTTCATTATTCTTCGAAAAAAAAACTTTACTTTTGATACGAGTAGTCGTTCGATTACTCTCAACACTTATTCCTTCATCATTGTCTATAACAACTGATTCATGACCAGGTGAATTTTCACTACTAGTTGCCATTGATTGATAAGACAAAAAAAAATAAATCAAAGTAAGCACGAACGCAAGTATTATTAATATATGAACAGTGGTATAGAATTGATAATTATTCTTAGAATTATTTTGTATCAAATTCAATATGAAACAAAACCTTGCTATGACCAATTTCAAAGCTTGAGAGTGTGATTGATTCTATTTTTGCACAAATAAAAAACAGAGTGAGTATACCTTTTCACTTTTTGAAGTACACATAACACTCGGATTTAAATCCGAGGTTTTCGCATTTATTTTATTTCTATTTAAAAAACCGCAACCAAAAAAAGAAAAAAAATGTATGCATGTCTTTTTATTCCAATGCTTCTTCTTATATTGCAAGAAAAAAATACAAAAAGAGAAAGAGTCAAAATGTTGATAAACATGATGTAATTCTACCATAGAAAGACAAAGAATATTCTTATGGCACAATTCGTCTCTTCTGACATAGCATAGTAATCCACAAAAGTGTAACTACTCTATATATGGATAAACACTGAATCATCAGAAATAATAGAAAATGATTCGAAACTAGCACACTATAGCATATATGCAATGTGTTTGCATATCTTTTCTCGAACAGACAGGATCGAAAAGAGAACTGCTGATTATTTCCATTTTCAAAACGTCATTATCGGCAAGAAATCCTACTTTTTCGTAAAATTTTCAGCTCTGTCACGATTTTCTATTTCGATTTGAAGACTCATTTCATGGACTGAACCAGGAACACTCTTTTGGGAAAAAAATTCATTATTCTGGGACTTTGACGTAGACGATAACCTATATTCTATACATTTTCCGTGTTCAAAGAAGAAATAAGAACTTTTGATATTCGATGCAGTTACTTCTAGTAAAATTGATGCCTGTCCAAGCAATAAATGATAGGAATCTGCGATTTGTGTAGTTTTATAGAGCATGATTCGGACTACCGAACCCATTCTTAAATAAGAGATATATAAGGAAAGGTATGAGGTCTGCAAAGTTTGGGAAAAGTTCAAGTAATTAAATGTATCTTTATATGATACTGACCCATTGATTTTTATATGGAATTGGTGCTCAGCTCCTGTTCTTTCGAATGGTGAAAACCACAGCTTTCTATGTCGTTCCTATCAATAGTTATTCGATAAATGGTAACCGGCCTTTTATTTTGGATTCGATAATAGTTTATTGATTCTGATTCATTAAACATGATCATCCAGAAAAACCTGTGAAATACATATTTTGTCAAGTTTTTAAGCTCGTCTTTTCAATCAACGTGACGTTTACCGAATTGTTGTCATATGCTCTTGTTTTATTGTACGTTGTCGGATGAACGTAATCTTATATCTCAGTGTCTAAACAACCTTATGCACCATAGGACATAAAGCTTATAGTGTACTACGACTCTATTAAAAAACCATTCATTTTCTATGCTCCTATAGACGTAAAAAAGTTTGAGAGTCCAATTTTATTTGATAATGACTCGAAATAGAAATTGATTTGAAACATTCAGAATTCAGTATTGTTTTATCAACTATTTTTTAGGGAACAGAATCGTCTGACAAATATTTTTCTGAACAAGACCTTCCGAGAAAAGGACTAAAAGTGTATTCCAGATGTCTTCGTAATCATATTTTAAGAATTTCTGAGGCATCGTTTCTTGGATACATTAATAGGACAATATTAGTTTTATAGACCGCTTTTTTCAATAAAAACGAAAAAAGCTGAAAATCATCATTAAATTCCAACTGACGACAGATTAGGACTTAATGCATACTGAACTCGAGCTAGGAGGAATTTGAAAATTAAAAATCAAAAATTGTTTCGAATACAACACCTAAGTGTTCTATTATAGATTTCACATCAAACCCTTAAAGGGATCTTCTAATATTGGAGGACCTTTTATCATGAGGGAAGAGGTCTTCAGTTATTTGGAAGCTGGTTATTAATTAATCGAGAATCTAGTACTGATTCTTGATTACATAAAAATTTTCCTAAGAACTGTTTAGTATTGTTAAAAGATCGTGAATATATCGGCCCTTTTGAATAGAAACATAGGTCTTTTTAGAAGATAAACAAGCAATCTAGCAATGAACCCTTGATGCATCCGAAAAAGTTAACTGTGCAATACTTAAAACTCGCTAATGTGTAGCTTTGGAGGAAATTTCACGTTGGTACTTACTTGTTTTGTGGAACAAGGTTAAGCACACTTAAAATGTTTTAAAATCAATGAATACTCTTAGACCTATGGAAAGTGACCATTTTTAAGTATGAAAAAAAACAATGAGAAAAACTATTAAATATAAAAAACTGAAGAATACTAAGAATTGTATTGAAAATAGTTTTAAGAAAGATTTGCATAACCTTACCTACGAGTATCTTAGGGACTATAATATCTATAAATAGCATATAATATTCGTCAAGAATTTTAACCTGTATGTTCGATCTCAAGTATAATAAAATTTGAAGAAAACTTGCCTTTCTATATATATGATTCGATGCGCCGCAGCTCACTCTATAAAACTATATATAAGACTTCTTGGTTCGAAGTGACTCACCACATTCAACAGTATCCTGTAGTTTGATTATCAATTATTATGTGCAACAATAATTGATATTTATATTGCAATCATTTCGAGTTGGAATAAAATTTTATATATAGGATTTGATAGAATAAAATCTCCTCTATTAAACTTATAAGATCAGTCAAGTGTGAAATTCGTCTTAAGAGACTTTCTATGGACTGAGTTTGAATATTATTGTTTTGTCATAGATCAATAGTATAGTTCACTAAAAACTATTATTAAGTGAATGAAAAAGAAAAAGTAATATATGAGCGAATGTGCCAGTTCTTAGAAAACAAGAATATATAATTAGAATTCATTTTTGTCCATGCAGTAATTTTAAAAAATTAAGAACACAAAATTCAGTAAGATTTCAGAATTTTGGTTTTTTCATAAATTTTCATATTTTCCATCTAAACTTGTAAATTCTATACCTTCCTAAAGGCATAGTATTCTAAGCTGATTCTTTTGTTTTACTGTAAATACAACTCATAAAGCTCTATAAGATAGCATAATTTTTAATCGATTCAAAGGACTCATGTGTTTTTGTGGGCGAAAATCCATGGAATAAGGCTCAGAATGATATACTTCTTACTATCTGTATGCCTTCTTACCATAATCTATTTTATTTGCTGTAAATAAAAACAAATAATTAAGGTCAGCAACTTTACCAGTGTGTATATTACCGTTCGATTAAGTGTAATCCTTATTGTTTTATGAGAGCAGATAGGAATTACTGCTTTTTAAGACAATCCTACGATGAAACCTTGTTATCCAAACTGATGCATATAGAAACAATAAAAGATAAACATAGATTTGCTGCATTCGTTTATAAAAAAGTATGTGTACCATAATCAGTTATTTGGTAACTAATCGATTAACTCAATATTTTTTTACACTTTCCTTTGTCTAATATCAACTATAGCAGAGTTGAAACCGGTCCGGCCGAACCGGACAGGACCGGATTTTTGCCAGTTAATCATTAAAAAATCGGTGCTTGCAAGCAAGAATTTTCTCTACTGAAAAAGTTGTTTTTATGATGTTTTCACGTGAGAAGAATTTGTTTGCGAAAGACTCGATGGATATTATGTCAGCGACCTAACTGTAAACAGTTCATTGTTCTCTTTTTATCCCTATCGATTTCTTTCTCATGTATCACTTATTTAACCTAGATCAAATAATTTATTTTCTTGTTCTACTTAGACAACTGCCTGAATCACGAAAAATAAATATTTACACTGTTGTGCTAGATTAATTGTAAACTTGCTTTTTCTTCTTCAAATTAAGATGAAAAAAACAGATTTGATCTAAATAGCTAACTTATATCCATATGGAGCTCGAAAAGTCAATGCATCTTGCTATAAAATATGATGGTGAGAGTTTCATTCCCAAGTTTTAGTTTTCAGTTCAGATTAGGCGTGGCAATTGCCTGTTAATTTATTTTAAATTTAAATTTGTGCAAAGTTAAATTTAGAATAAATACAAATTTTTTAGGGATGACAATTCAAGAGAGTCGGTGTAGTTCTAATCCCGTCCCTAGCTACTCTGTTGGCGCTTGGTATCCCTGATAAACCAACGCTTATTGTAGAGGCACCACTTTCCATTGCCCCCCCCCCCCCAAACAAGAGGGGTGCTAGTAGTCTGGCGCCGCCACTAAAATTATTTAAATTCATTTAAGCCTTTTAAACTTACTTAAATCTAGTTTCAATCAATCTAAATTCAATGTAAACCTATTTAATTGGATTTAAATCCAACAGAATAAATTTAAATTTAAATTTATGTAAGTCTAATTAAAATTGAAAATCAATTTAATTTTTTTTTGAATATATTTTTTGACTTATTAAATTTTAATAAATGTAAGTTGAGCATTCCTAGTTCGAATTTCTATACATGGATATTCAATTCTTTTTCACCAGCATTATGTGTGAATAGATACTTTTATGATCGGTTATTTTCGCCGAATTTTTGCCAGTTTGGCTGTGAAATTCATCCGGTCGGTTAGTGGCCGGATCGAACCGGATAGAAAAAAGCTGTCCAGTTCCAACTCTGAACTATAGAATTATAATAGGTCATAAAATTTCAGATAAAATCATATTCTACTAACATTTAAATCATCTGATAATTTTATCTATTATTCTATGTCTATCCTGTAATTCTTTTGAAATTTACAACTTCTAGATTAACAAAAAGAGTATTAGCTATATACAAATACATGATATTGTAATAACGGTCACATAATCCCTAATTTAAAACATATTTATGTGAAACTACTTTTATTACTGTCTCTCAGCTTATCTTTAAAAAGTGCACATCTTATATGTTTTTACGTTTTTTATTGTTGTGCTTATCTTTAGTATTATAGAGAGATCATACATCGTTCATGTCTATCATTTCATGCAAGAGAAAGAAAATATTGATGATCATGTCTCCGATAAATAATGATGG